TTTTTTTTTATTAAATAAGTATAATCTATAGGTACCTATAAGTAATATTACTTTTTTTCATTTTTAAATAAAWTTATAATAAATAATTGGTTTGAGAATATTATTTTTTTTCCTATACTAGAGATTTTTCGTTAGTAGTCAAAACTCAAAACTTTTATTTTTTGCCATGGATAGTGTAGATATAATATTATAATTGTAAATATTTATAAGTATATAATTGTATAAAACTCAAAGCTAATGGCCTATGCTGCCGAAGCTGTAACGTTCAATAAAAAAAAAATATTATATTATTATAATATGTGGGTAAACCAATAGTATATACACTCTTTTACTATTATTAATTCTAGGTAACCAACCACTTACTAACCACCGGTTGTCGGCTAAAATTAGTAACCGTACAATTTTCGATTGAATTGTTGAATTGTGAGTAGCTAATAATTAGTATAAAATAGTTTTTTCCCCGTTTTTGGTAGTACCTGATAGATAATAGGTCTGTTCATCGATAACATCACTTCGTCCTGCGGTGGCAACAGGGTCGGCGCATACCACCGTAGCGAGCGCGCACGCGAAACTAATTGACGAAAAAAATAAAAACAACAATTTAAAACCCGAAACTCGCGGCACTCGACGGCCCGAAAACTTAACGGACGGAACGCGTGATCGCGACGATGGCAATATAGCACTAAACGGCGCTAAAACAAYAATACCTATTAATATTGTTGAACACTCGTTTGGTATATAATATATAGTGTACGGCCGGGCGGTACGTGCTTAACTGGTCGTGGACTTTTTATCGTGCACTACCTCGGTACTCAACTGCCCAACGGTTACCCACACCAATCCGTATAATAATACGCACCACGGTATATCGTCATACTACTGGTTGCGCACGCGGTTAYCTCCTCCTTTAGGCACTCGTGTATATCGTTATCGCTGTCATCGTCGTTGTTTTCGGCGATCCGCGGACAGGGTGGAGTCCAGCCGCAGCGTGCTGTACGGTGACACCCATCGGGTACCGTCGGGCCAATGGCCGGGCGTCACCCGGTCCACGTGGCCGCAGCATCCCGTGGCTGGGCGGGAGCGGTGGCCGCCGCCGCCGGTGATCGATTGTGTGCCGGCCGACGATTCCGGGCCAATGGGTGGATAGTGCGATCGGGTCACCCGCCGTCGTGGCCTAGGTGTCGTATATTATCCTATTGTTGTTCTTGTTCTTGTCGTTGTCGTCGATGTTATTGTGTTATTGTTGTTGTCGCCATCGCCGCGTATGACCCACTTTTCGCCGCGCGTCKTTTGTCGARAGCGATCGCGCTCGCTCTCGGCCACCAGTCGGATGACGCTTTTCGTCACCATGTATAATTTTTGCTATTGTACGCACTACAGTATAATATATTATAAATATAATAATATAATAGCCTATAGTGTCTGATTGCAGTATGATTTGTACTTATATTATTGTGTCGATTTAGGTTTCATATGATTTTTCCTCCAACATTTAAAGTATAATATTATATATATATATATATATATATATTTATGTTATTTTACGAATTTACGTCATATGCTTTATAATATTATCAGTACCTATATACCGTGAATTTTATGTTTTGGTTTTTCTGCAACTTGCAAGGCTGCAGTAAAATATTTTGTATGATATTYTTCACAGAGTTATTCCAAATACAAAAAAAGTTGTCAGTCATTTTTACAATTATCCATGCTAAAATTATATATAATATCAGTATTTTATAATTTTTTTATCAGAAATCGTTGTCATACTAGAATAATTAATATACCTAATTACTTTTATAAAATGCTATAAAATAGGCAATTGTTGACATTGTTGTTTTATTGTTTTGTTTTTCAATTGCTTGATGTGAAAACATCTAATGCGGCGGGTGAGACMGGCTGTTGGCGTGTGGACGCGTCTCGACGTGCCATGTCCCATGTTACATATAAAATTGCGCAAATACTAAAGAATGATTTTTCTTACACAAACCTATGTTTAAAATTTTCATAATTATTTATCTTATTATATTAAGTATTTATAGTATTTCATTTTTCTATTGTATACAAATTAAAAATATAAATTATTTATACTTTCAACTTTATCGACTTTCACTYATTCGCCTATAGTTACGTATCTTTATTATCTATACTAATCTAAGTAATCTATAACGTCTATTTACTTTATTTTAATCATTTTTTTTCTTTTATTGTGTAGGTATTATACTTACTACTTATATAGGTTCCTATTTATGTTATTTTTTTTTTWCTCTAATAATGATTCTCAACCTTTTTTTGTAGGTATGCTTACCACCTACGACCTACATTGTTAGAAAATTATCGTGTAGAAATTAATCAAATTACGTTTTAATYAAAAACGTTAACGTTATTTTACATGTATGGAATATTATTTCTCTAGAAACTATAAAATTATGATTTTTTAAGCGTTTAACGCACAAAATAATGGAAAATTAAATATTCACAATTATTAATGATATCAATCCATTTCACTTTATGTCATGAAGTAAGATTTTCTTATTGTACCAAAAATAGACTTTCCACATACCAGAGGTTGAGAAACGCTACTCTAACAGTCTATCCTACATGACTTATTAACMTATCAACCTAAACAAAATATTTAATAACCTAAAAAAAGTAATTGAATTGTAATATTTCATAATTTTAAATTTCTATTAGATTATATAATAGTTAGAACTACACGAAAAAACTTCACTTAGCTACATTTCAGTAACTCCGTGTACGAAAATAAAAATAAAATGTAAAGTAGATACATAATTCAATATCTGATCATAAATTATTATTAATATTATATTTGAATTAATTGTGTCAACACAATATTTACTTAAGTTTTTACAGTGTAACAATAAATTACAATAATATAAAATAATTATATGGCCTACGGGCGTTTTAGTTATTATATATATATATATATATATTATATAAAATAACTAAAACATATAAATATATGTGTATATATATATATATACATGAATACAAGTTTTTTCCGACTTATGCATGATAAAATATGTTTTAGAGTAAATAGCTTAAAATGTAATCAAAAATCCCCCATAATGGCTAAATATCCAGTCATTCATATTATACTAATTCAAAAATATCGAAACTACGTTGTCACATTATATTTTACAATTTTTTATGAAATTCAACAAAGTGATCTAATTACTCTGTTGTATAAAATTCATAAACTTTTATTATACCTACTTATTATTAACAGTTATTCATACMTAAGATTCAAAATTTTGGTAAAAAAATCCATACAAGTTTTTCTTAGAATACGATCATACAAGACACCCGTAGGTCAGGAGTRATGGTCTTTTTATTTCCGGAATACATCTTAGTGTATAGCAGTAACAAACATATTCTCATCTGCTGATTATTTATCAAACCYTGCTCRATATAAGATGTTATATATAAACAAGTAATAATTATTACTATTAGTTTAAGTTATTATATATTTTAGAATTAAAACATGTTATATAGGTATACAAATGTATTATGTATAGTACCTAATACCCGTTCTTATTTAGCACATATAATTTTAGTAAACGAAATATAAAACWATCAGCTTAAACAGTAATAATTTTATATACAAACAATTGAATTGTTTAATAAACATATTAAATTATTAAATAAAGAAAACATTTTAAGTCCAACGTGATAGAATAGATTAAGTATTTTTTTTTTATATATATATTCATTGAAACGACCACAAAGTTTTTGTCAATGCTTATCACAAGTGCAGGGTAGTATAGGAAGATCGTGTAATCTATTTATCTATATATCACTATACACGATACTTCCCCCTTTCTCCAAGAAGAGCCATGTTCAACCTTCACTCCCAATGGAGTGAGGCCTACTTGGAAACCAGATGATGAAATCGGACTGCAACAGCACGGAAAATTTGTGATCACGTAGAACCACGCAATTCGTTTAAACTTTGTTATGAATCGAACCGATGACTGTATGAATCCCAATCAACTTCGTGACCACTGCACCACTTCGGGCTCAAGTAGATTAATTGTAGAATAACGAAGTTATAATTGATATTTAAAGAATTAATTAAAGCGAGAATATTTTTGCGCATGGAGAAAATAAATGTATAGTTAAAAAGAAATATGAGATTTTGCAGTCAGCGTGAATGATTAACCTTAATTTTTATAGTATAAGGTACCTACATAAATAATAATATGTATAAATTGTAGCGACCAAAACATGAAAAAACTAATAAAAAAAAAAAAAAAAAATGTTTCCCTTGATTAATATCCTGCAGTATAGATTTACATTATAGTTATACACATACACAGAGAACAGTACTTTGTATTATATAGTATACGTACCTATACGGRCATACGGCTTTACCACCATATATATAGACAATACCATTCGGTATGGCCACCCCTGCTATTTTAGTTAATARTCAATTGTGTTATCACTTGTAATAACAAAAAAATAGTATGTACCTATTATGTGCTKCAGTGTTATCAAACATTTTTGACTTCCCCTCCCCCCTGGCTTATACTTCGGTTCAACCTTGGATACGTCAAGTACATATTATTAAAATGTTATACACCAACAGGGCATGCACATATATATTCAATATAATATATTTTATAGGTACGTATTATTAGGTTATATATATATATTAATGTAAGGATTAGAAAAACGACTGTGTCATGTTATAAGCTTAGATCGTGTTTTGGCTTATTTTATAGAACTGCGTGTTTGGAACGGTCTTTGTGGTTTAATAACACTGATAATTAAACACCCCAGTTAGGAAAGTCATCGTTGAAAGCCAGCTATGGGACGGGACTTAATTAACAGCGTTCGCACCGAAGGGGTCTGACAGCCTAGAGTCATAAATTAATGTAAGCCCACATTTTGTCATGACAAATTGGCTCGTCTTAAAGCTATATTATATACTACATATTATTATACACCATAGTCCATATAGATTATAGGTACCTATATATTATATGAAAGTTTATCGCGTCATCGATGGTGTCGATATATTCCTCTCTATACGGTTTAAAATGTATTCTATTTTCTACCATTTATAACCATTAACCAGCATTTTTGTATGTATTATACATGTAATATTATACATACATAATCATGTGTTATTCAAACGCAATTTAAATGATATTTTTTTTTTATTATTATTAAAGCCGCAACAACTAAGGTTATTGGCATATTGTACAATGTAAACATTAAATTAGGTGCTAGATAACATTATGAATATTAAGTACAATGTAGATTATTTATAAAGGTATAACGTTAAAATATAGAAATACAGCATTGGAAGTGAGAGAAAGATGAAAAGAAAAAAATACAAGTACAAAATAGATACAAATACAAATACAAATTTCAGATAAGGTTATATACAATTTGGTTGTTTTAAGAAACTTTATGATTTTTATAGTGTTTTCATGATCGGGTCCAAGTGCTTCATATAGATGCTCAGGTATACTTAAGGCTGTTCTGRTGTCTGCGTAGTTTCGACAGTATAGGAAGATATGTTTGACAGTTAAAGCTTCCCCACAAGTTTTACATAGGTCTGGGTCTYCTCGTCTCGYGAGGTGACGATGTGTAAGCCAGGTATGTCCAATTCTTAGTCTTTTGATTACTATAACTTCATGACGTCTTTTGGTAAGGTAAGTTGACCATGGGTTAATGGAGAGTTTAATTTCATTGAGTTTAGTTTGTGAAGAAGCCCAACGAT